AGTAATGGGTACAATAAAAAAGGTCACATAACGATAAGCAGAAAACAAAGACAATGCCACGAGAAGACTTTACTCTGTTATTTTTGTTACCGTATCAATGTCATTCTGAGACAAAAAGGATATACATTCAAACAAAGAGGGTTGAACAGTCAAAGGCAAGTCAAAGGTTATAGCTATCGAACTCCAAACACATAACTACTAACATCAGTCATTAAATCACACGGTGAATCATTACTGACAAGTTTATCAGAAGAGTACTCGACTGTTTTACAACAAAACCTCTTCCTAGACCAAACCTTCCCCATAAAAATCAAAACTCACGGAATCTCGTGAAACGTTCTTTTACATATAACAATACCATCTTACCCAATAATACCACTGGCCTTCAAAGTCAATACTTGTTGTGTAAACAGAGTAATCTCCTGTTAAACAAGACAAAGCTAGCCTGAATAGAAAAAACACTGGTCATAAAAAGTCAAAACCAGTACATTCACGTAAAACGTTTTCTATAAGTCTCAATACCGTTCACACAAAGACAAATCTACCGATACGAGAACAAAACTCCTTTACTTAAATCTAAGATTTTTCACCCAAATCGCTCTAACTCTTCTTGACATTCATAAAATATCAATAACTTTAACAGACAGCGTTAAGTCACAAACATACCGGTTATTACGTTACATATTCACTTTGTTTCGACAGTAAACAGATTTACTTCGTAAAATCATTATTCACGAAATGTTATGACTCAACACAATCTACGTATTCTAACGTAATGAATACTTGAATTATCTCGTAAACCTAATTTTCATTAACACGTTTATGACATAGGATGTTGTACTTACTGAGTTATAACAATTCATATACTCTTGCGTAGTGAGACAATGCGTTTAGTCACGTGTGAAATCATGTATAGTGTGATTAATGCTGATGTCTTTGTCTGTGTAACTTCATTTAGTGTGTATTGACACATGTCAACTGTCTGTGTGTGTGATTTGACTATACGTACATCTTCTAACTGTCATTGTACGAATCTATTCTGAATAATATTTCCGTCGTCTGTTCTTTCTCTTCTTTAATAACGCTCACACCACACTTAGGATACAAGCACACACATCAGAACAATGAACTCACGTATTGTACCACACTGTAGTACCTATCCATTTAGATGTGTTCTGAAAAGTACAAGCAACTCACATCGTCGCGTACAAGTTGACATGCAGACTTTCAGGATCGATTCCTGTTGTCACGCTACTTTGTGACAACCTGAGAAGCTCAAAACGCCTACGGAAAACCTGAGTTCTTTGCGGCGGTGTACACGTCGTGGGACAATCTCAGCCAGACTCCTGAGGGAAAGCACGGCACACAGATGGAGACAGTACCTGCTAGTATGAGCAGCGCGTCCGCGAAGTCACCTTCTCGTGAGACAGTGTGGAGGTTCGGAAAAAGTGCACCGCGTCGGTTGTCGCCAACTAGTAGTTAGGACGTCATCCGGTAAGACCCACAAAACTTATAACTGAAGGAGCACGTGGGCGCGGTGGTTCCGCCGCCCACGTCGTTGCGGACGGCCGGCTTCCACCTCCGACACGCCGAAAAGGAGCGGCGAGTGGTCGGGCCTAGCGTAGGCCCTCAAAGACCCCTACTCACGCTGAAAGATGGTGGCAAGTAGCGTGGCTCGACGGAGTGATATACGCCTGGGCCGACATCTCCGAAACTTCCCATGGTCTTCGACTAGCCGAAAGTGCCTCAGTTGCTGAACGCAACCGACTTCCGCCGGACCACCGACGTGGGGATAGTGTGCGAGGGTAGAGGTGAATGGTTGTCTGCGTGCCTGATGCTGGGCAACACGTCACGTGCTTAGTCTCTCCTCCCGGCCGAACCCGTCGTCGTGAGCGGAAAAAGTCAGCGGTCGACTGCGGGTCTTCTTCTCGTTCATGTGCGCAAAAACACTGGTTCTCGAGGAACCTGAAATAAACCGACACGCTGTGAAGCAAAAACCTGCGAAGAGGCAAAAAGACCTTCCGGCTCACTCAAATGCCGCAAACAGCTTGGTGTTCAGGCGAGGCGCAAGCGGGTACAGATTTCTCCGCCTCGGAACCACGCCGGTGTCTGCAGTCGTCGTCCTTCGAAAGGATGTAGGAGCCTGGTGTCTCACTGTAGAGTTCGTCGCACCGACCGTTTCTAGCTGGACCAATCCGTCTTAAACGGAGAGGTCTCAGCACAGGTAGCGCTCGGCAGGTCTAACCCCGAGACCTGATATGGTCAGTAAAGCAGAGAATGAGATCTATATAACTTTACTGATCTGCTCTTTGGCGTCTGTCTGGCCACATAGCCTCATCTACGTCACAGCGTATGTCTTCCCTTGCAAGGCAGCGTGGGAAATATCTCCTTGCGTGTCGACACCACCCTTGACAGGATTCCGCAGAGATGTCCCGACAGCCAGCATTCATTGCGTCCAAAAGGGGCATTCTGTCATGAGGATGATGGTCATAAACCTTCCATCTCCAGGCAGAGAAGAACTCCTCAATGGGGTTTAGAAATGGGGAGTATGGAGGGAGGAACTCCATGGCCATGTGTGGATGAGCCTCAAACCATGCCCTCACGTCACGAGAGTGGTGGAATGCCACATTGTCCCATATGACCACGTGAACCGACCTCACTTGATCCCTCTCTTCTGGTGGCACAAGTCCGTCATACAGGACATCCAGGAAGGCAAGGACACGTTGCGTGTTATATGCTCCCATTAAAGGGATGTGAGCAAGGACGCCTTGTGTCGAGATAGCCGCACACAATGTTATGTTTCCTCCCCTTTGGCCTGGAACAAAGACTGTCGCTCTTTGCCCAATAAGGTTCCTCCCACGTCTCCTCACTTTGGAGAGGTTGAAGCCTGCTTCATCCACATATACAAAAACATGTGGTAATGCATTGCCTTCCAGCTCCATCATTCGCTAAAGAAAATGAAACAAACAGAGGACCGTTTTACATTACTGTAAGCAGTCAGACATACTAAAAATATAGGCAAGCCATCAGTGTGATTGAGGTCCTTACCTGTACATACCGGTGCCTTAACTCCTTCACACGGTCAGAGTTGCGTTCAAAAGGAACCTTATAGATCTGTTTCATTCTGAGGTGTTGCCTCTTTAACACCCGGTCAATGGTTGCAACACTTATAGACTGAATGTTACTGAAGACATCCTGGTCTGCAATTATTCTGGCCTGAATCTCCCTTAAGCGGATTTCATTGTTGGCCACAACCATATCAACAATGGCAGACTCTTGTTCTGGAGTAAAGGCCTTTCGTCTGCCACCAGAGCGGGGTGCTCTTTCAGTTCTATCAATAAATATTTGAGAATGTTATGTACTGTAATATAAAAACAGTGATCGAAACCTACATCAAAATAGAAATGCATGAAGTGCTGTAAAAAAGGGTTACAGTAGCTTACCTATTTTCGTGCCTGAAGATCCTAATAATGGATGCCACTGTTGATCTCGATATATTGGGCTGAACCCTTTGGCCAGCCTCACTGAGGGACATGCCATGGTTTATGACGTGGTCCACAATAGTTGCACGGGTGTTGTCCGAAACTACTGTTCGCATTGGTCCCCTTTCAACTCTTCCACCACGCATACGTACAGCCCTCCCTCTTCCTCTCTGAACATCAGGGTTCCCTCTTCCTCTCTGAACATCAGCTCTCCCTCTTCCTCTCTGAACATCAGCCCTCCCTCTTCCTCGCTGAACAACAGGGTTCCTTCTTCCTCTCAGAGCTCCTCTACCTACTCGATCAGCCATTTTGTTTACACAAACATCTTACTGAAGTGAGGGAGGTCTTTTATAGGATTCTCACTAATTACAATTACTATAGGAAATTCATTGATGTCAGCTGTGAGCAATTCATTTACATGGAAGTGAAGTACTCAATTCACCCCAATACAAAAAAAAACATTTCTCAATGTGCAAAAAGGAAAAGACCACAATTACTGACTGTAAAAATGTTGTATCAGCTATAGCTAATCCTCCCCATGGGAGGATTAGCTATAGCTGATACAACATTTTTACAGTCAGTAATTGTGGTCTTTTCCTTTTTGCACATTGAGAAATGTTTTTTTTTGTATTGGGGTNAGGTGTGTGTGTGTGTGTGTGTGTGTGTGTGTGTGTGTGTGTGTGTGTGTGTGTGTGTGTGTGTGTGTGTGTGTGTGTGTGTGTGTGTGTGTTTCAGGTTCGCTCTGGGCGACGCTCGCCGGCCTCTTTATGAAACGGCCGCTCTGGTGGAGGACATCGTTCACACACAGCTCATCACTATGGTACACAATACTCATACTGCATACTGCGGTGTACAAGTACTGCATGTTGGTGTATTCATTATTACTGATATGTGTTGAACCAGCTGCATCAGGCCTGTGAAGGAGCCACTCTCCGGGGGTCGAGGGTCATCTCAGCCGAGGACATCCTGTTCCTGATGAGGAGGGACAAGGTACACACACACGCACGCACGCACGCACGCACGCACGCACGCACGCACGCACGCACGCACGCACGCACGCACGCACGCACACACACACACA